CAAGAGTTGGCGCTGAGGCTTCCCGTGAGCCCCCAGCAGGCCTCCTGGATCGGGATCGGCGACACTTCCCCTTTGGCGTCGACTTTCGGTGACGGCGTGACTCCCTAGTCACTGACGCTGGGTCACTCCCTTTGCTTGAATCCGAGCTGGAGAATGCGCGACGTTTCAGTATTGCTGTATCCGTAGAGATCTGCATATCATCTTCCGACACTGCACCATGATGAAAAAGCTGCTGCGGAGCTGCAGCGCAAGCAGGTGTTGAACTTTCTGCGGCATCCAGCCCAGAGTCTCTATCTTGTACTGGTGGTTTTTCGGCATCTTTATGGGTCAGCGCAACAGCACTCTTCATAGGAACTTCCACTGGTGCTATGGGTTGTGTGGAGTCGTTTCGGGTATGCTGCTTGCATGATTCACTTGGCTCTTTCGCACGCAGAAGTTTCAACTGTGTCAACAGCGAGTGACTTTCTTTCCTCTTCTGCATTCCTTGTGGTAGAGCCTGCAGCATATGACATTGACGGAGTGTCTCCCGTTGCGTCCAGAACCTCGGTGGCATCCATAATATGCTCTTGTAGGTTATCATCTGGCTGTTTTGTTTGCTGTCGCAGCTTGTTGGCGTATGTCATAACACAATCTTCGGCCGAATGACCGAAGCGTCGACAGTTGTCACAGCGAGGGGTCCTGCAGTTTCGACGGATGTGTCCAACTTTACTGCACTGAAGGCAAAGTGGTGGGCGGCCAGGTATCAGGACGACGCTTTGCACTTCGCAGACAACAAGAATATGAGGAATATCCACAATGCGAACTCCATCAGCAAGGGACAAAACAACATCCCTATTTAGCGTCCGCATTTGTTCCATGTCCGCTACTTTCCAGCTTTCTTGTGATATTGTCTTGACCTTCCCAAAAGCTTGCGGTGCCTCGCACACATAGGCGTCCTCCAAGCGCTCAGGAAGCCACATAAGCTTCAGCTTCACTTCCGTGGGCTCCGGGTCTATAACGAGGCATCGACGACTTTTGACGAAAAATTCGCGTCTTGTGACCAACTTTGTTTTCGTCAGCGTTGACTTGCATGTGACCATCCAAACATGAGACATTTGAAATTGACATATGGAGCTTATTTCCTTCAAGTCAATGATGTCCCGAAGAGCATCTCTAAAATCCTGAACCCGGTAGGGGCGACCAGCTAAGTCCGCATGTAGATAAACAGAGTCCACAACAAGCTTACCGGTGGGAAGGCGAGGAAGTACAACACGGTAGTTAGTCATTGCCGCTGGCTGAAGCCTGAGCAGCACCTCGGCCCATGGCCGATAAATCCTTCGAAGCGGAGAACATGAAAAACGCGTCCGTTCAGAACATCGTCTTCGTCTTTCTTCCTCGGCCACGGGAAGAAACCCTGCCTTACCAGAAATAAGTTAGCAACTACTGAAAACTGTTTTGCTATGACGTAATCAAGAGCAAACTAAGGTAGCCCTCTTAGATTATCATTTTTTCTGAGGTGTATATTTATGAAGAAAAGTTTAATGACAGCATAACGCTAAGCAAGCCCTTTTAGGTATGGCTAGATTTAGCCCCTTGTTACAAACATCATGACGGCTTTAAGAAGGTAAATACTTTTCTTTTAAATGATGATCACACCTGTTTTCTTTTTCATCACATACAATAGTATTCCCGTAGCAAGCTTTCAAGCTGACGGGTGGGGGCGATACCTTCCTCCCCAACAGAAAGCCATCTTCCATTTCGTCGAGGTTTTTTTTAGCACTAAACCACATAACATTGTAGCGTGTTTCCTTTTTTTCCGCTTTGGCTTTCCGTTCTCGCAATAAATATGTTTTTTTTTCAAATTCTTGTGCAACCATTACTATCCCCAGTGGCGTGAAATGTCCACGGTGATTGCCTCTCCGATTTTTGCTTTTGCAGATGATAACACTCAGAAGAACCGGAATGGCACGAGTGTCGGCAGTATTTTGTCTAGGGAGGACGGGGCGTAGGAGAGGGGGGAGGTGGAGGCGAAGAAAAACAGTGTTGCATTGTGGAATGTGTTGCACCCCCCTTCCGACGCCCATGTTCGATGATGATGAATATGATGACGTGTCTGTGTATTTATGCATGTGGCTGAGAAGTTTCTGTCAGGCGGGCCCTTCTAACGTACCATTACCAAAAAACCGGTAAAATGAGAAAATATACTGCACAGACGCCCGCACACATTCGAGAGTGCCAGTGCCAACGAGTACTTGCACTGTCCAGCGAGTACTAACAGCGACGGGACGTAACTGGTTAAACGTTGCAAAACTAAACCTTTCAAGTATGACGAGGTGCCATTGACAAATATATACGCACGCCGGCCGAAACGTCGATCAGCCCGCCTGTCGAAGGCATCTGTTCAGTTCATACAACATGGGTATTCATTTTTCTCTGGCTCGCGGCATTCCGCAATACCAATGTCGAGAATTAGAGAATTCGTTATGTAAAAAATTAACAGCAGCTCAAAAAAAAGATTCGCAGTCGACAGGATTCAAACCTGTGCGGAAGACCCCAATGGATTTCTAGTCCATCGCCTTAACCACTCGGCCACAACTGCCGGGACGTGCAGAAGGGATTGGGTCACGCATTACCTGAAGACTTTCGCAATTTAGTAAGCACAATTGTTCGTGCGTGACGTATGCTTGGACAGCGTGCTGCACTCTCATTCTTCGCGTCAGAATTACTTCTCTGCCTCACAGGTACCAAACCTAGCTCACTGCAATTGTGGTGAATACGTTCAGCTGAAATACAACATGCCACAGCATTGAGAGAGAGAAAAAAAGCTACGTCAGGTAGAAGGTGCATTTATTGGCCCTGTGCCGTCTGAGGCTTGTACGATAGGCCTTTCTCCATGCATGTTCTGAACAGCCAGACGAATTTCAACCACTTTCTATTTCTTTTCAAAGCACTTGATCCACCGAGTGAGCCAAAAACTCGAGAGTTCAGTAAGGAATCAAACTATTTGTGCTCGTTCAACAGCAAGAGCTTTTCAGCCTCACATGGATGAAGTTTATCACTCAAGCTGCAGGCTTTAAACTTTGAACATTCTCAATTATCTAATTGTTTACTTCTATTACATGTTCAATTAGCGTTGTGTGTGAGAATAATACAAGCATCCACTGTTAGCAACCTTGTTTGGGTTCTCAATGTGTGCACATTAAGTGATGTTTACTTAATCGTATGTATTAAAAAAAAGCTAACCTAGAAACCAGCCATTAGGCCCTTTTCTGCCCTCAAAGCTCTCAGGCAAATCACAGTCCACCTAGATGATGCTGCCATGCATGCTTCCAGACCACTTTCAGGTTCGCTGGATGATAGCAGTCCCAGCAGTGACAGAGGGAGCACATTAAGGGAACATGAGTCATTACTTTTTCTGTAGAGGTGCTCCTAGTCATGAAGAGACTTGATTTGCCAGTACGTGCAACCAAGACCTTCACAATCTCAAGACCTTCACGAACTCTGTGATCTGTGAAGAGGCGTAAAACAATATAATTAAAGAATCATCCTGAAAAGCGCTCACTTGTTACACTTCTTTGGCTATAACGCAGAGCTATCACTTCGTCAAAGTGATCAAATCTGATACATTTGCATTGAAACAAACATAAACGCCGTGTAGGCTTTACATACCGCAAGATATATCTCCTAGTTAAATATAGTGCTACCACTACATCTATGAAAATAATTTTTAAAATAACATAAATATTTTAAGTGCAACCTGGCACCTCGAAAATAAGTTCACATTAACATTTTCAACTATCAAACGTGGCAGGTTCGTCTTAATAATCAAACAAGAGCTCACCTATATTAAATGACAGAAAACTGCTCATTTTTTGCCCCCCTTTTCCTAACATATGTATGTAAATAACAGTAGTAGTAAATGGTTCATACTTGAACTTAAATGAGTAAACATTACATTTGCTGGGTTGAAAGACTTGCACACGTTATAGTACTATGCGTATGCAAGCAATTTAGTACCGCAAGGTCAACTCACCAATGGCAGAGCGTTTAGTAGCTGTCAGTGTCATCAGGGATGAAGTGTGCTCTGGGGCCAACAGGCAGAGAACGTCTGTAGACTGGAAGCTGCCAGTGGCATAGCAATTAAAGGCTGGTCAGGCGTGCACGTTCACTGACAAAGTGTAAGAACAGGCCATGGGCCGCTGCAGTCAAGGCTCTAGTCCCCCGCAAAATGTCGACCCGAAGGACTTGAAAACCTGTAGTTAGCCGGTACTGGTCTACAACTTCACCCAAAGCAAGGCCCCAGTGAAATCTTTGCCCTTTCCGAGAGCCGTAGGGAAGCTTGACGTTCACGGGCTCTAGCTGGCATGTACTTATGTTTTCACCGAAGAACAGGCGCGCTGCCAAAGCAGCATGATCCACAACAGAATGTAGCATATCGTGACCTCGGTTCGACGCATTAAAACAGTCATCAACGCTGTCTTTCAACTTTCTGTCACACGAGCACAGCCTCTTCACAAGTCTTGAAAACGTCAACACAGTACCATTGTTCACAACAAACATTTTTTCACTCCCGAACACTGGACTGCTCAAAAGAAAATATGAGCGCTCGGGCTAAGCGATGGCGAAGCAAGAACGGAACACAGCGCTTAGTTCATGCGTTACCGTACGTAGTTGGAGTCACTCAAATAACGTGCCAAAACGCTGTCAATTCGAAAAGTCGCACAGCACCCAACGTAAAGACGGGAAATCGAAGCAGACGAACTGTTACCGGCACACAAACACACATTGCAGGCCACTCGAGTGCTAGTTGCCGTCGATATACTGGCGCCGATCCCTGCTTGATAAACCCACCGAGCCACAGGCTTCGCTACACTTCACCGTACACCATGACACTGCCGCAGGTTTCCCCACTGCTTACACTGACCGAAAAAGCAGCCGGAATCACAACACACTTAGTCGAACTCTGAAGTAACTGAAGCGAGAAGCGTTTGTTAAAATCGGCAGCAACACATTTACAATGTTTACGGCGCCATGTTGTTTTCGCACACTGCGCAGCACGTAAGAGAGCTCTTGAAAAGCACTTGCGAGTTATTTACGGCGAGAAAAAATTTGCTCTTTTGTGCGAGGGGTAAAATATGATGAACACGACAGTGGTTCCTGATGAAAGAATTGTTTTGGCAACGCCATAAGACGACCTTACGTAAAAAGTACTGCTTCCTAACCAATCATAAGCTGCGCTTGTCGGCCAAGCGGTCGTCTGCTCGCGTTGGTCGTCTGCTTTGATGAGAGCAAGCGCAGGGAGTTTGGCCTTCGCAACGCAATTATTTCCTGGTGAAGTGGTCGCTGCATCGCACAGAATGCATATCAGTGTCTGGCTTCATCTTTAAATAATATTCTTATGTCAATTTAAACGGCTGGTAATTGTCGAGGGGATAAATTCAGCCAAGGTTTGCTCGTGAACTGGAAGGGTTTGCACATTTCTGGTGTCATTTAAAATTCTTGGAGCCATTTGAGCCTAACTGCTTGCCATATGAGCGTGTCCCTGATCGGTTCCGAACATTGAAAGCGGAAATGCTAGATTTGTTTGTAGTTTCATGTGTAATCACACACCCCTAATACGCTCTGGTTTGCCAAATACGTGCCCGTTCCAGATCGTTTCAAAGTGCATCGGCAGCTGTAGTTCGGAGATCGTGCCCATTACAGTTAGAGCCAATTGAAGTATCCGGGAGTACAACCACAGAAGGGGCTTTAGGAACCGACAACTGAAAGGATGCGCTGTTTTTTCATTCCCAATAGCGCCAGGTAATGTATGCTCCTATTAATCTATTTAATGGTAATTTCCGCCAATATGGCAACCATCACGAGTTGTACATTCAGTTGGATTACGTAAGAACATGAAGTTATAATTGGAAGACGTGAGAACATGATAAATAAGGTTGACCATGTATCGTGCCGTGTTAAGATTCACCGACCATTCACGTAGCACATTCGTTTCCATCCAACCACGCGACCTTACATGCATAACTTTACGCTGTTGATGCCCAAAAGGATTCGTCATTACGGTGACTCCAAGCTTATTGAACGAATGTGGCGGTCAATATATTGTCCATTGCGTACAAGGGAAATATCACACCAAACTCAAAGCGCCAAAATGAATAAAAACGCACGAGTAGTCGTTAGGCCGCCCTACATGGCCGTGAATTAACTCAAAATCAACCACAGTACTCCAGTATTCCGTCGCGCCTTCAGGTTCTAAGTTGCCACAATATTCCTGAGAGTGGTCCGGACCACTCTTAAAATTTACTAGTAGCGACGCTGTTTTTAAGCAGCTATTTGCTTTGTGAATCCACTTGCGAGCATTTTGCGGTGACGTAAGTTAATATACCAACTGCATCACCATCGATGACACGTTCCTGGGCAGTCGCAGCGCGCTTTAATGAAGCGGCCAACGTGGCAACAACGGCCTCTTACGTCGTTATTTTCGCTTCGTGAATCCACTTACGCGACCAAACTTCTCGCGCAAAGTTTGATTGAAAGAGAGTTTTGTGAATACGACCCCTGAAGTTTTTTTTCATTATATTTCTTCGAGTTGGACGTACACAACGAAGAGTGGATTAGCATCCAGTGGCTCAGGCAGCAATTTCGACTACACTCAGTGTTCACAAATCCAGTGTTCGCTAACGCAGTGTACACAAATCCGTTTTCAGAAATCTAGTGTACTGCGTTGGTTTGTAATAATAATGTTCATTGCGATTTTTATCGCCAAGCATCTTGCAGATGCTTGATGATAAAAAAAATTTAAAACCAAAATAAGATATGTTTAATTGTTTCCTGGCTTCGGTGTGTAGAGGGCGGTAAAGCTACATGCAAAAGAAAGAAGAAACACCGCTTTTGTAGTGTCTCAAAATCATGTCGATACTCATTTATGCTGCACAGCAATATAGGAAACGTAATGTTGATGGTCATATCAGCTATCGAAATAATTGGTTGTTAGAGCACGCCTTAGTTGGTGCTTGTCTTCAAAGGCACAATGCGAGAATACTATAACCCAGCCAATAAAAAGAACTCTTGATACGGAACAGGAGACGGTAACCGAGACAGAAATTGCCGGCTATCGCTCAATGGGGGAGGCATTCGTCTCTCACCGTGAAGGAGAAGAGGGACCGTGGTCTCGAAGCGGCCGGCCGCGCTGTCGGCGACACAGCTGTAGTTGCCGACGTCTTCCACAAGCACGTCATTGATGGCCAGAGTGAGGCTGTTCTGCGACGCCTTGATGACGACGACTCGCCGGTCGGCGGACGTGGTCACCGGGCGGCCGTCTCTGAGCCAGGCTAGCTCCGCCGTCTGAGCCGGCGATGTCTTTCTCAGGAGGCATGTCGCGACGGCCTCGTCGCCAGGCCGCAGATTGGTCGAGAAACCAAAACTTTCCGGCTTTGCCGCATCTGTGCATGAATTGATATCGAGTCGTACTAATCATTTTTCAATTTTAATAATATTAATAATAGCAACATTAACAATATTATTATATTTGTGGGGTTTTCACATGTTTTCCTTTCTCAAACTTCAAACCTTACATGGGGCCCCGCCGCGGTGGTCTAGTAGCTAAGGTACTCGGCTGCTGACCCGCAGGTCGCGGGTTCAAATCCCGGCTGTGGCGGCTGCATTTCCGATGGAGGCGGAAATGTCGAGGCCCGTGTGCTCAGATTTGGGTGCACGTTAAAGAACCCCAGGTGGTCAAAATTTCCGGAGCCCTCCACTACGGCGTCTCTCATAATCATATGGTGGTTTTGGGACGTTAAACCCCACAAATCAATCAAACCTTACATGGGAACACAACCCAAGGTTGCGTTTCCTCCCGCACTTCCTTTTCGCGCATTTACTCGCTTACCAAGCGTCGTCTCGTGGTAGGAGCCGTTTTCGGGATTCTGAAAATATTTTTTTAATAATGCGCGAAAAGTAGTTTTTCTCTTTACTGTCCCTTCAAATGCCGAGAAAAAAAGGTGCCGATGGGGCATGCATAGGCAAGGCAACTCAGCAACACCAGTAAGTCACAAGCGCGAAACCTTGGCAGGTGTGAAGCACGTGTTTCCCACAGCCACATCTTTACTCTTTATTTCTTTACTGGCCTCTGGTTCACTAACGCACCTTCATTTTGCAAATTTGTTTCAAGAAATGAAGTTTCAAATATATCACTTTACCATCTATATGCACGTTTGTGTCTCTGGCTTTAGGTAAAAACTTGAGCGCCTCGGTAAATTTTGTCGTGGATTCTGACACCACTTCTAAGCCAAACGAAATGTTTTAAGGATTAACGACAAATGCTTAGCTCATTATATGCCTAATATGGACCACTGGCAAGTAGTGGTACTTACGTAATTTTCATGGCAGATATAGCAACTGTATGGTGGGTCGTGATGACGACATGACACGTCGACAAGCCAACAGCCTAAAGTTCTTTGCACCAAAAGGTCAAAACCTGCTCACAACTCACCACCAGAAGGCTGCGCCAATGTTTTGGCCTCAAGGGACAGCTGTATTGCCCACAAAACCACCGTCAAAGGCTTCATAGTTCGTAGATAGGTAGGTGTGACGGCACCTCAGGGAATGTTTTTGCCACGGGATGAGACTGCGACCGCGTTCGCTCACAATGCCTGGGGTCTGTCGACATTTGCTGCCTAGCTGCGCGCCGACTCTGCTTCCGCTGGCGAAGCGGCGAAAAGTTACTCGGCTGTAGTTCCGCTCTTTCTCTAGCGGATAAAGGTCTGTGACGTGTCCCGTGAGTTGGTGGATATACGGCCGGCAGCTATAAGCGCTATGACTTTCATACGAGAGACGGCAACCAACACGGGCGAGTGCTCTTTGGTCTGAATGGAAGCTATTGCGCTTAGAAAACCCAAAAGAAACTACTGAGTCACTTTGAATTCCTTCAACTCGATTTTAAGGCGAAATTCATCGTTTTCTTGTTAGTGCAGATAACTTGGTGGGTCGTGCTGTCGTCTTTGCTTTGCGCAACGCAGGCACAATCATACATTGCATAGCCACCTGCACCATGTTTAACATGTGCTCGCGCTAAACAAAAGTATTTTTTCTCGTGTTCTCCGAACATCTTGTTGATGATATAAAATGGGGGCAGTTCACTACAATGATTAGAAAACTAGACCGCACAAAGCACGTAAGAACATGGATAGAGGAAGGAAGTGAGAAATAAAAATAACTAACTCGTTTTGGGGTTGGTCCCACGAGGGGGAATTGACCTAAAAGCATACGCCATATACCTTCCATCTAATTTAAGGCTTCTTTAGGACCCTTTCTCTAAAAATCTACTATATTTAAAGAGTTCGCAGTTATTTCGTGCTATTGCTTGGCGTCTCTTCTTGCAACTGAACTGGAATTACAACTCTATTTTATATCTTACAAATTTCTAAAATTAAATTTAGCAAGCTAAGTAGTTCTGGTGATTATATTTAAATAAAACCACTCCGCATACATACACAATTCTTGATCAGTAGCTTTACGTTGATGTTTGGTTCATTGTGGTTAAAAATCAGCTTTCTGCTTTTTTCAAGTTGTTTTGATAATGAGTCAAATAGAACAAAAAAAGTTGATTCTGGCATACTGTGGTGTAAAGAGGAAAAACAAGTGTATATCATGTTTTGTTCAAAACGAAAATAAGGTCAACGATTTGAATAATAGCATCGTGGCGTAGAATTATCACACGTATCAGCTTTTCGCTTCTTTTATTGTTTTCCAGATTTCTCATATTTTCTGTGGCTCTAAAAACCAGATCTCGATGACATTCGATTTCACTATACAATATCACATTTTGTGCCTCGGTGATAAGCGAAACGGCAACGACATAGCTTACTTTGGCCATTCTTGCCTTTTGAAAGTTAGCATGGTGTTGAAGGTGGCACTTCTGAGAGTTTCCATGCCGATAAACACGGCCCATCGCGTTCTCTTACGAGTGCCACGATTTTCCTGCATCTTGTAGAGAGTTACTCATAATCACCGTTTCTAGAAGATAGACGGGAGGTAAAGGGTAGCCATAGTAACTACTCGTAACATTTTGTGGTAGCGGCGACACGGAATGAGGACAATGCTTACAACTTACAAAGCTGTGGTGCTTGCACGTGTGGTTCCGGTCTCATTTCTGTTAGTAGCCGAAGCGTGTGGATTTAAATTTGGGCTTTTTAAACAATATCTTTTATCTGCCAACAGGAGGGTATCTTTTGACGTCACAACAAAATGAGCAAAAGCACACAAAATTAAGAATAAATGCCCAGATCCCCCCAATGTGGGTCTCACACACACAAAGCAAGTGCACTCGGAAGTACTTGCTGCCGGGCTAGTTGGCACATCATAATTTCTTCGTGGTCTTTCTCGGCACTTCTTCGTTCTTCTTGTGTTTTAGGCGTCCATGGTTTTCCCGCAACTGTGCTTGCTAAATGACATGCTCGTTCAAACAAGAAAAAAAAACAGAACTGCACCATGCTCCTTTGTGGTTCTTTTTTCCCCTTCACAACAGAGCACATGAATGTAAGTATTAATTGGTGCCTTTAAATTAAGATGCTGTGTCGCAAAGGGTGCCGCTAATAAAAGTGGCGAGTCGCGCTTGTTGGTACAATTTCTGTTGCACTGCGGCGCTGAGAACTGACTATGGACAGAACACAACAGCCGGCAATGAGAACTGAACCTTCGACAACCTTTACTGGAAAATAGCGCGCATATTTAGCTGTCCGTCACTGACGTCATTCAGTGCACATGCTTATGTACGCCATATCTTTCGCGATGAATGGTAGGGACCAGACGCTTTCACAACCCACCTCCAGATAGGAAGTGCGTTCCAGGGGTCATCCTCATGCCCAATATTGATTCTGCTGAGGGAGCACAATACGCTGCCCCAGTTAACACTTTCACTGTTGTTAGAACCCGAAGGTTAACTTAGAAGTGTGGCAGCTTGGGCTAGTAGGTATGGCATGACAATAGTTATAGCGCGAGAACAAAACGACGACACAGAGACAAGAAGGACACGAGCGCTAACTTCCAACTGAGTTTATTGCGCAGAGCGCGAAAATATATAGAGGAGGCAGTAACCATGTGACAAAAAACCATATGGCACAAAGAGCAGAACTTGAGTAAGAGAAAAACTAAAGCACAGAAAAGAGGCAAAGAAAAATCTATAAGGAAACGAAACAGAAAAGTAAAGATAATATAACTACTTGCGCGCACCGAAACTTTCGAGGAACCTTAGTTCTTTCTAGGACAGAGACATGGAGGGCTTGCTAATGCAATGCATCTGTTCGCGTGCCATCTGCGCGGCCTCGACAATGACTCGGGTGCGCTCATCTTTGTGCTTGTACAGCGTCGCTGTATCCTTAAAAAGGGGCACACAATTGCACTCAGTGCAATGCTGAGCAAAAAAACCATCTTTGCCGTTTCTAACTATTAAAATGGCGTCGTTAACTATTAAAAGGGCCGTCGTGCTCTATTATACGGAACCAACGCTGGAGTTTCTACGGCCACCCTGGCGGTCAAAGCGCACACTTCTCAACTGCTCCCGCCAACGAGAGTGGCGGCTGGTAGAGGTGGTGTGGGCCCGCATCGCCGTAACAAAACCAAAGGGCGCTGGCGGTATGGCCGCGTAGTCAAGTGAAACAATATGTAGTAATGGTAGAGGACGTGACTGTCTGCGTTTTTCCTCCTTGATCATATCCACAAGAGAGGAAGCGGCGTTGCATGCAAGCGGTCAAAATATGTTCTGCTCACATGTCTAGTGGTGTCCGGGTGGTTTGTAGATGAAATGACGCGTGTCTGCTATATTTATACAATAGTGAAGACGACCACCAGTGGAAACCAGAGCCACACAGTCGAATTTAAACGACGTTTTGTTCGAAATAAAACGAGCGTATTGTGCAGCATACTACATATGAAGTTTTTTATCTAGCCCGCTGAGTGTAAAGTCTTGCACCTCAGGACTAACAAAGTTTCTCTTGCATCCATCCATCTGACCACCATCAGCGAACTCTATCTGATGCCACCGCGTGAAGTTAATGATACTATAGGTAGGTAGTCAATTTATTTATAACAGTCACGCATAAAGAAAAAGCTGCCTTGTTCACAAGATTTGTGCGGGGCACGTTCACTTACGCCTCTGAACTGTTATAAAAGATAATCTCGCGGTTGACTCGATGCTGATATGCCTCTATCTAACTTAATTTGTGCTAAATACAGGGTTTTTGCTACAAACGAAGCAGTGGACTACTCGAAGTTTAGCCTTCAATTGTCAACCGATGCGGCAAGCTTCTTTTTCAGTGGCTACCGTGGGCTATAGTAACATAGGAGTGTATGCATTGCTAGAAAATCATAAAATATCTTCAATTGTTACTCGTCGTTTCGTTCACCTAATGCACAGTTTCAATTTTTGCGCTTGCCGGTGTCGGCTTAAAATATTATTCAACATCGATAATTGCTCAGTTTTCGTTTGTCAAACAAGATATCATTTTGAGTCACGCTGTATTATGGGGCATCAGGATGAATTGTGACTGCTTGGGGTTCTCCAATGCGCACATTTATCTTTGTTCACGGATGTTCTTAGCATTCCACCCCCCCCATCAAAGTGCTGCTGGCGTGGTTGGGACTTTATCTCGCGCCCTCAAGCATAGTAGCAGTGGGGCACATCACGCGATCAAGCGAACCACTGTCCCACACGTGCCATGGTTTTTTGCCTGGTCAACGTCCCTGTGCATACATACCGCCGACAAGGCGTTCTTACGATGCCAGAAAAAAATGACGTTGCTATCACTTCCTCTGTCTTTGTTTTGTGTTACTGCAGACGTGGGCAGCGTGATAATCGTCGCAGCACGCAATTATCAATGGGGCTTGTCAGCCTGCACTACCTTAGCCCAAAATTCAGCACGCAACCAGAAAATGAGGACGAGGGAGTCGCCACCACGGCACAGCACTGTCCCTTCGATGGCATGTGCATAGACGCAGTCCGCTTTGAAGGGCTTCTCTCCGTTTTTTAACGCTTCATGTGCGAGTAGCCTCCGGACAAAGTTATTTGTCTAAACCACAGAGCATTATTACTGACGCAATAATGGCTTTCTGAGCTGATCTTTCCGAAACGAAGCACAGCAGCGGCGCACGCGCGTGCTCTCACCGGGGTACAATGCTGCCGGTCGTCTGGACATAAGCCGCTGAGTTATGTCGCGACTCTCCGCCAGGTGCTTTTTTTTTGCGCGCCACCTATCCAGCACTGGTCTGCCGTAGAAAGGCAGTGTTTGTGTCGAATAACGTTAGCATTGAGAATATGTTTATAAACTTGGTAACTCCACTATGGGGGAGCATAAAGCCATTCAGTGGGCCTCACACTCTTTAGGTCCTGGAAGAAAGTTACAAATTTTTTTTAAACCTTCTTGGGAGTTCTCGACAAAAACTTGAGAAGTACGGAGCGTTTTCCAAAGCGAAAAACAATAAATGGCTCCTTATGGTAACAAGAAGCACGAGAGCCGTTTAAAAAAAGTAGGAAAACGATTTTGAGTACTTCGTACTCTAATATGGGAAAGCATAAACCTGTCCCGTGGGCATCACACTTGATGAGCACGCTTAGAAGAAAATGGTTAATGATTTAGAGTACTCGGGTACTCTACTATGGGAGAACTGAAAGCCGTCCCGTGGGCTTCTCATTCAATTGAGCCCGAATGCTAACAACTGTGTGCTTAGAAAAGGTGGTTAACGGTTTAGAGTACCAGGTACTTTACTATGGGAGAGCATAGAGCTGTCCCGTAGGCCTCTTGCGCTGCCTGTTTAGAAAAAGTTTATTCTTTCATGGGACGCAACTAAGAGACAAGCGTCTGTATAACAGGCACAATAAGAAACAAAAGACAAAGCACAACATACTCTACACATTTGAACTAAAGTGTCCAAGTCCGTAAGATGTCCACAGTCCATTGTACTAATAACTGTACATACACTACATAAATGCACTAATCACAATATGGACAATGTACATGATGATATATGTACAGAATTTACAAGACATGGTGAAGATGTTAGAAAATATGTACAACAGGTATCAATATTCATAAAGTTACATAACATACAGCGTTAGAATGAAGTGCATATATAGGAGAGCTCACACCCATATGGAACACACACAAACACATAAAAATAGTAAACACATAGTGATTACATGCACCAATCAGACATTGACAGGTGACCTGACTATAGGAACCAGGCCAGGTGGAAGACTAATCGAACGCGTCTGTCAACTACAGACAGAAAGCGGCACGACTATTGTCGCAGAAATTCTTCCTCCCCAAGGAAGAACAATTCCTCCGACAGAAACGATAAGAGTTCAGAGTAGAGGCGTTCCAGAATCCGAAAAAGGGCACGACGACGATGACCTGCCGCAACAGCTTCGCACCTACTAGCACAGACACTAATAGTCATAGTCACGAAACGTCAACGTAATGTGACTCGTGCTGCACGTTAGCTACATTTCACGCCCTCCGATGCTTCCCTGGATGTCACCATAAGTTATGACTTGAAACTTGGAAGCCCCCAGCGATATTTGGAAGAATATGGGAACAATTGTAGCAAACATTGTTGGCAGTGGACATTTTCTATTCAATCATTTTTAGCGCCAACAGAAGAATCAGAAAAAGATTACCCTTTTCTTGTTTTAGTAGATGAGTTTCTCAAGCACGTTAAACTAGAGCCGTTTCCGTGATGCACAGTCGCGACATGTAGTTATTTACTTCGTTGGAGACCTTTTTGCGAGCCGCCACAGGCGCAGTCATCGTGGCGTGAAGCAACAAACAGCGCATGCGCAGGTCATAGACTGTATTGCGGATTAGTATCGGTATCGTTATATTGGGTGGCCAACCTATTCACGTTGTGTGTTTGACAGCTGAAAGTATTGTGCTATGGTGTAAAAATACTCACGAAAATGATCGGATTGGTTCTTTTCATATTTCGCTTAACAGCCTTCGCTTAGCATTCGCTTAACAGCTTAAAATGGCGGTGCCTTTATGTTTTGCGTAACATCGTCGATAAATGACATAAAAAATGAGCCTTTGAGGTGAAAGCGTTTCAAGGCTTTTCAAACGTGAGGAGTGACCACCATAGACGTGAGCACAAGAAGCACGAAAAAAAAAAAGATTCTCCACGTGATGACGTCTCCATATTACATCGTCGTGACGCCACCTGGCACCAAGTTTCGTTACGTCACCATGACGCCACATAACTGGACGTCATCAAACGACTAGTGGCGCTTGCAAACAAACATTCTACACAATTACAGAGGCTACACTGCATGTAGCCTCACAGACACAGCGACAATTGTTCGTGGTGCGGAGCAACACCGACATTAGAGCACGTTATGAATAACTGACCACACCGCGTCCAGAGGCGCCTTCTCACCTCTGTTGAGCACTCCCATGAATGGGTTGTGGAGGTTGCGGCTCGCGGAACTTGAAATGGAAGCGCCATCTTGTAACCCTTGACCAGGCCTCGCGAGCCGCTGCAGCCAGTGAGGTTCTGGAAGAGAAGCACCACCCACCATAACATTAAAAAGCTAGCCCTGATATGAAAAACAGGTGCACCCTTCAGGCTCACCTTAAAATTCAACGCGATAGCAATATCCTGTCCCTAGTGTGTACTTCAAACACTTGGTGCATGAAGCCTTCTAAATGCGAAGCATTTCTTAGCGAACTTCGGCAACTTTGAGCGTATCTATCTATCTATCTATCTATCTATCTATCTATCTATCTATCTATCTATCTATCTATCTATCTATCTATCTATCTATCTATCTATCTATCTACGTCTGTCTGTCTGTCTGTCTGTCTGTCTGTCTGTCGTTGTCTGTCTGTCTGTCTGTCTGTCTGTCTATCTATCTATCTATCTATCTATCTATCTATCTATCTATCTATCTATCTATCTATCTATCTATATCTATCTATCTATCTATCTATCATCTGTGTCTGTCTGTCTGTCTATCTATCTATCTATCTATCTATCTATCTATCTATCTATCTATCTATCTATCTATCTATATATCTATATCTCTATCTATGCAGTTGCTGAAAGGGTGTAAGGGGGACAGGCCTTGATACTCACACCACTGAAGCATTTCGTACAAATGATTAAGCAGCGAAGTGTAACAATGCGGCCCCTATGCTTATAACGCGCTGTGATATATCAAAGAGCCTTCTATTGGAGCTTTGATTTTCTTATGAATATCTATAAGGAATGTGCGCTTGAAGCGTTAGCCTAAAGGATGCTAAGCACACCTAAAAGCTTTTAAGGGTGGTGCTTCATGTTGAAAAAACCTAAGCAGAAGCTACTGCACGTGCGGGGACCCTTTGAGGTTGCGTGTTCTAGCATCCTGGGCACGGATGGATGCAGCCAGTTCCTGAAATCAAAAGGAATTGAAGGTTTTTGCCTTAAAATAGTGTGTTATAAGCAACAGATATCGGTGACCTCGTGCCACGTGAGAAACTCGCTGCTGGTGGACTTACAAAAATGCAGCCCTCGAAGGCCCACTAGTGACAGCTACTTGCATTCATAGTTTTTAATAATTCATGCTCCATTATTTTTTCAGGGACAGTACAATATAGTTCGCAGGAACAGTTACAGTCCCGATGCATGCAGATATTGTCAAACAAATACACAAACCGACAATATAGGTTTTGAGGAGTTAAAGCTCCCCTCCCCCCCCCAAACGTGGAAGGGGGGCTTTGTTAACATTGCTCATACGTACGTAGAGGACAGAACGCCATGATGCTCCAGTTTTTCACGTTTCACGGGCCCTGAGGTGTTGTAAAAATTTCTTTTAAAGATGAAAGTCTCTTTTGGAGACCTTCGAAGGGAAAATTTCGGTCTGTGTGTCCGTCTGTCTGTCTGCACATTTGCCTGTTTGCCCGCCCTTAACGGTACCCTAAACGGCCCCAAAGTGGCCAAATGATACTCCGAATTTCCGACCCCATCCGCAGCACCCCCCAATATCGCTCCAGATTCAGCGTTCACACTTGTGTGATTATCAATTAAAAAGTACTTATTGCGCATATCCGAGGCATCATAACAACACGTCAATATTCTGTATATGCGTCTCTTACGAGGAAAAGGATACTTAAGTAATTTTCAGGACCATAGCGTTTATGACGTTGCGCTGACCAGGCAACGCTTGCTTGAAAAGGCAAGTGTTTCCAGTGCTTTGCTAAGACGACACGGTGGTGGCACCTACCCGTCGCCTTGCGTTTTACACCTTATCACCCCTGAGATGGGCGCGCAGGGCACGCGCGCTTCGTTTTCCAAGATAACTGCCAGATAGCGCTCATGTCTCACGTGTGACGTGACTTTATGCACTCGTTAGCCTCCGCTGCACAAGCGAGGCACTCTAACGCAGCGCCTCTAGAATACCATTCACCGATTTGTTTTTTCGCAGGACATCAAATAAACATCTTGTGTACTCTCTCTAGACTCAAGACTATAGTCTTTCGACGACATTTGCAGTGTACCATGGAAATACGGGGCCAACTCTTTTTTATTAAACATATATGTAAGAGCTCCCTGCAATGAACGTCCATTACTTTTTAGACCCATTACTATAAAACCATGTTTTGAAAGGCAGCTACGATTCACAGTGTGTTCCCTGTTTGCTATAAGGTTTTCAATTTCAGCTACCCCCAAACGTTGTATATACTTACTCGGTTCTCTGTATAGAAACCAGCAAAACAATGAAACAAACCAATAAAGCATGGCATCGCGGTGCCTGTACTTTGCTTGACGATAATTTACGCCACCGACCAGCAAACTCAATGAGCCAGCTTCTCGAAATAACGATGCAAAATAACGATGGCCTTGCGGCATTCCTCAGTGCTTACCAGGCTGCCGATATCGGTGAAGCTGGGCCGGCAGTCAAATCGCGTGACACCCCCTGCACCTGTCTTGATTGCGTGCCACAGGATGTACCTCTCGATGGTCGTTACCGACATATCCAAGAAAATGTGTGTCACGCACCTGTAAAACATCAAGGGCTTAGTCAGGACTCAAAAGGTGTATGATATCAATGATAAGATCGGTACTGATTAAGTGCCTTACATAGCTCTGAACTAGGGGAAAGCGACGTCCAGCTATTGCAAAAAATAAACTGCACATCCATGGATTGAATGATGATGTGTGGGGCGAAGAGTCTGTACGTCCATTCGTACATCCGTCCCTCCGTCCAACCATGAATCCATCTGTCTGTCCATATACTGTCCATATACTGTCTGTCCCTATCCATCATATACTGATAGTGTACAAGTATCCCCATCTAGTGGACATTCCGAGAACTAAACAAGAGGTGGCTACCTACTACATACATGGAGGACGCACGACCCATGGCTTAAAGAGCTTCGCCCCTAAATGTCTATTGTCGGTGGCACATACCCGCTCTCTCGAATATGGCCTACCGAAGGTTACAAAGGGGTATGTGCCACCGGTGGTTACAAACCATAACGGGAGACGAACTGGTGACGCCATAAGGAACCTCGCCCCTGAATCTAGTTTTAAACCCAGGGTTTTTATGCAAACTGTCGAAGCAGGGTTTATCAACCTACCTGCCCTGGTATTGGAAAAACCGACACAATGTTGCCTTACCCGAGACTGCTCAAAGCCAATAAACACGGAAATGAAACAAACGCACACGTTAGATCAGTGTGAGGTGTCGCTGTTCAGCTCGGGCCTTGTCGACTTGGAAACGTTGACTGACCATGTTGATTGTGCGGCTAAGGTCAGTGAGGCTCTCGACTCAGGATGACTGGACAATAATAATGTATTATTTATTGAAGGTGTTCGGCTCTGCTCTATAAGTCATACCCTAAAAAGATTGGATCAGCTGCTTCCTTTTTGAATAGGTTCTCGAGTACAAGCAATATCTGGATAAACGAGGAGTAGAATCTCTCATTGGTCTAGTTGGTCTGCAGTGTTGCTAGAGCAATCAAGACGGCCTGCTCTGACGGGTCGTTGCTATCTGTATAAAGAACGAGTGGCCGTGACAGCAGACAGCCTCTTTAACCCAACCAAGAGGGTATTTGGGTAATTTATTAAGGGTGCGGTAGCGTTTTGTAGCTTGGCTGTGTGTAGGTATCTACGCAAGATACCACATGTGCGGTGGTAAGGGGAGGCCAGAACAAATGTCGCCGAAAGTCATCTGGCTTTTCTGAACCGCGACGTGGTTGGTTGCATTGACACTTTCGTAAAGTGTCAATGTCAATGTCAATGTCAATGTTTACGAAAGTGTCGTGACACTTTCGTAAAGTTGGGACCTTAAGAAAACCTGTCAAATAAGCAGGAGAGAAAAAGAAGCACCGCACTTGGCAAAGTGACTCCTGCCAAAGGAAACTTACTGGTACAGGCCGCTCTACATCTGGTGGCTTATTCTAACTTTTTCTAGGCACGTGACAACGAAATACGGTAAAATGCAGCGACAGCTACAGTAAAATGAATATCGGTTTGTGATATCTCTTGCTGAAATACATATAGTATAAACAGGTTCACAATACCTGTGTTGTCGAAGCAAAATATGGATGAGCAATGAAGCACGAAGCATGTCCCGCAATGCTGGTTTCTGTTCGGGCCACTGGTAGCCCTTGAGCGAGAACTCGCCCCACTTATGCTCTCGCAATTCGATGCAGTTGCGGGCAAGGATGCGGTTCCACAGGTCCAAGTCTGACGTGATCCAGCAGGGCTTAACCTCGGGCTCCCACGTGCAAAAACGTTCGAACCCCTCATGGCTGTCACCACTTCCACAACCGTCGAAATCAGCACCATCGCTCTCTGCGCTCGTGGAGGCAGCTGGAAGCGTTGACGATGGAAAGATTTGAACACATCAAATGGATGGATTCTGAGAAGTAGCTAGTATGGAATATATGAAAAGTAAGGAGAGGGAGCGAAGGTGAGTTGGTTATTCATGACAAGCAAAACTAAATCACGTCAAATCCACGAAGTTGATGATGATGAGTGGGAAAAGCAGTGGGAGCGTTCGGTGTTACCGTTAATCACCCATGACACTGACCACAACGCACGTAAATGAGTGACAGAGTGGTGTACAGCTGCGTGCAATGTTTATTGGCCGTGAATGGTACAATATGTTGAGTTGTGAATTTTATTTTTCGTTTTTTATTACCGTATTGTCCTCTTGGGTTTAGCGTTAAGCCGGCAAACATGAGGTCTGTGCACATTTCTTTGAGGTTTTTCGTTGTTCCCAGCCGTACTAAAGGCATCGTAGATGTTATCAAGATGACATATATTGCGTAATATTCATTGTCATCAGCGTAATCGTCATGGCGTATAGTGAGTGCATTGCATGTGCTGCGCATGATAGATGAATGGATGCGAAACTTTATTTTAAGTTCTGAGGAGCATGACTCAACCTGCAGCGGGCCGTTCCCACGTTGGGACAGTCAAGCCGTGATGGTAGAAAGACTGTGTGGTCTGGAACGCACTTGTTTTTCGTTATCGCCATCATCGTCAACGGTGGCTACGGCGTGACAGAGGACAGGCCTCGCTGATCAGCGGCTTCGCAATAAACCAGAGTCGTTCCATGCTTTTCTCGTCAGGAACTCGTGCCGAAGTGTTATAGCAGGACAGAAGCTGCTGCCACAGGGTGACCGCAATCAACGTGGGCTCATCCGTACGTGCGCGCTGCGCTCGGCTGAATGCTGTGCATGTTCGAGGCAGTGGTTTATCTTGCACCAAACCACAATATTTCAATTACCTCCCATACTTGAACTGACATACTATACACTGCAATTCGATATACGCGTCTGAAAATTTACTTTCGCGTAACAAAAAAAAAGATACTGAGGCGGGTATTAGCAGAGAAAGTAGAAGGGGAGGAAGATATCAAAGGTCGCAGCATACCGACGCCATCATTACCTGATCATGGATTGTCATGGTAATAAGCCTTTTTCAACCTGAACTGGTTAAAAAATCGTCCAATCTACTTGATCAGGAAGGAGATCCCCACCACGGTGGTCTAGTGGCCAAGGTACTCAGCTGCTTACCCGCAGATTGCACGAACGAATGTCGGCTGGGGCTGCAGCATTTTCGATGGAGGCGGAAATGCTGTAGGCTCGTGTGCTCAAATTCGGGGGCACGTCAAAGAACCCCAGGTGGTCGAAATTTTGAAAACCTCACCTACGGCGCCTCTCAATCTTACGGTGGTTCTGAAACGTTAGACCACGCATATCAATCAATGAGGAAGGAGAGTATCGACTCATTAGTGGATGTTATCAAGCATAGCCGCGTATTTGAGGCCTTAAAGCTAGGTGGGATTAAGTGAAAGGTTAGTTAATGTAGTGACGGTTGCAAGAAATGAGGACAGCAACAGTGTCAATTTAGACCTTGCGGCTGCTGAAAGGCAAATTGTTAGCGTGGAGCTCGTGCGATGCAACAAAGCCGTGAACGCCGAACAGTTTGGTTGGGCTTTTAATCATGGAATCTCACGAACCCACATCAGCCATTTCGTCGCTGTCGACCATTGACCATAGGTAGAGAGTCATGTCGATCACCTGCGATAGCACCACCATGCCTTTCCGACGACGTGATGCATTAATAACGAGCCTATATGGGTGCAATCACTAATCCGCACTTAGAAAATCAAGTATACTATTCGCAGCGTCCCAAAGCTTATCGCGAAGTCTGCAACGTCGGTCGCCCACCACCTTTCTGCAAGAGTTGTGGTGTCATAAGACAGATCTTTTTTTTTGTCATCTTCGCTGCCAGACTAGCTATGGCTCGCCACCAACTTGGCCGAACTATGACGAAGCCATTAACTAGAATCATTGGCCGGCAGAACATCGTGCGCCAAACACCACAGGCTCGTCACTCAGGAATTCCTTCCGCCATTTCAAGAGGAGAGACCCGCCAGCATAAGACCGTGGGCTTACGTCACCAACCAGTCACCCACACAGTTCACCGTCACCACAGCGCTGTTCAACAACTCTATTACGGTCGAGAAACTAGGCGGTGCAGCCGGAGGAGGTAAGGTCGCCGACCAGTCCTCGGCTCTGCGAACTACCCTGCTTCCTATCATGATTGTCAAAAACATAGTGAGATAGTATGCCTGCAACTTCCTTAGTAGATACTTGTGCTATGATTCCGTCATGAATGTCACATTCAACGAAAGGCTGGGTTGGAAAGTTATGTTCTCCTGAAATAGTGGTGGGACATTTTGTCGTGTCAGAGAAGAGTGCCCTGTTTCCCGTAGTGTTTGTGTGGCAAGTGTTGTATTCGGTGAATGAGATCTTATCTTGGGATTTCTGGCATTTATGACTCTGCGAGAAACACGGTTGTCGAATCTGTCAGATAGCTACAGCCTTGCGCGCACATGCAGAATAAAGCACCATAGCATGACCGAATTGTAAGTGTCAATCATTTACACACGCAGCATTATGTCGATGTAAGTACTTGTATTATCAGCTTCAAAAAACGTGGCTGAATCTTGCTATCAGTGATGAAATTTTTACCTCAGCTAGCATGTACCCCATCTATTGGTTTGACCGCGCTTGGAATAGAGGAGACCGTGCTTCGGTCAGCCTAAGAAAAATAACATTATTTTTCATGAACACTAATTCATGACCTCGAAATAGTTTGCGTATCTTGTACTGTCCCTTCGTCCGAAATTCTGGTAATGTGTTGCTATCGAGTGGCAGATGTCGACTCTTCCTTCAATAATATGCTAGATGACAGTATCAAAAAGGCATCTGAAAATTGCAAACTAGACATAATTTACTCGTTAGGCGACTTTAACTTTTCGCTCTATATTTGGGACACGCTGAGATCATTCTGTCACCCGTCAAATAATTTTCTCACCTAAACTCTAGATTTCAAATTTTTCCAAACTTTTCGGAAACCTGCACGTGGTCTGAACAATCTGGATCTTGTCCTCACTTCCACTCCGGACGCAATACGTAAAACGGATTACTTGTACGGATTCAGTGGCCCTAAATTACTCCAAGTAGATATAAACATACCCCTTCCTGTAGCTGGTTTACGTATAAAATACATTGGGGACTTTAATAAAGGCAATTATTAGCGCATTAGTTGTCAACTAGTGTTCTTTCTCGATAATTTTCTCCTACCCTGTTTTCACAATAGATCTGTCGAAGAGAACTTGCTACTTTTCATAACTCGTTTTTGCACATTAGTTGACAAATACGTCCCACTGGTTACAATTAGCAACGATAGATCAAATGCGTGGTTCACTAAAATTCTGCAGAAAATGCGGAATGAAAGAAATGGCTAAATATAAGTGCAAAGTTATCGGGCAGTTATTCTTGGTTTAAATAAAAAAAAACCTGCATGAGAGCTAACTGCACAGCTTTAAGTAAGGCAAAGGAGAAGTATTATTTTATTGACTTACCCACACTACTAAAAAAATGTGAAATTTCGCAAAGTCATAAATGCGACACGAAAAACCATGGCATCTCATTACACGATTGTAACAACGTTCTTATTTCAGCTAGCCAATGTCCTACAGCATTTAATTTTCTTTTCATTTCTGTATTCACGAAAGGGAACAGTACCTACATACCCAACATAGCGGAGCTTCATCACCAATTCATGAAACCAATAGACACTCAATTAGACGGTATAATTACAAGCATAAAGACTCAAGTTATTTTCCTAATGCGGTATATATGGAATCTGTTCGAAGGCGTTAAAAACACAGTAATTCACATATTCCGGCTGTATATCTAAATTGGCATGATACCATCTGACTGGAAGTTGGCGAAGATAATACAAATATTCAAAAGTGGAAAATAAACCTTACGTAAAATTTACTATCATATTTTGTTTACTTCTATTGGTTTTAAAATGCTAGAACAATTCATGGCTTCGAATATTTACAGACATCAAGGATCCAATCACTCCTTTTTAAAAAAAATCAGTACGGCTACTGAAAGGGCTTTTCGTGTGAGACTGAGTTGTTTGAATAAACCACAGAACTTGCTGCAAATACCGGCAATAATTATCAAACCGACTGCATGTTGCTGTACGATTTGAAGGCTTTTGATTGGGTCGCACACTGTCGCCCGATATTGAAACTTCTCGCTTTGAACTTAAGCTCCCGTACGCAATCATGACTTCGCAATTTGATGCTAATCGTCGGCAGTACACAACTGTAAACAATTTCTCTTCTTCCCTAAGTTACGATTTTTCAGATGTACCGCAAGGCAGCGTACTCGCATCATTACTTTTCCTCATATTCATCAGTGATCTTCGCAACATGTCTCTTCATGTATCAGGGTATTTGCTGATGGCAGCAGTATTTACCGTCAAATCGAGAACTTCAAAGATCACCTGTCACTCGAAAATGACCCAAATGGTTGTTGTAGTTTATGGCTCGTGGCTCTAAATGTCTTAAAATGTAAAGTAATGTCATTTACAGGGAAGTACAGCAGATCCAAATTTTCATACACCATTAATCAGTACATTCTATCGAATGCAGCCAGTATCTGTACTTGGGGGTTATAGCGACAGCTAATCTATTGTTGTTCGATCACATTAGAGGAATCTCTGCCAAGGCTTCCAGATCACTAGGATTCTTGAGAAGTAACCTGAAAGCTATACACTGTCAAGCGTTCGCAAACTATGTTACTTGACTATGGTTCGCCCTCAACTATAATATGCCTGTTCTATTTGGTATCCCCATCAAAAATGCCTATTTGATAAATTGGAAAGAATTCAAAATAGAGAAAGCTGCTTCATTGCCAATAACTAGTGTCCTTACTCCAGAATATCGCATAGAAAAGAGGAACTCTCACTTCCACCCTTGAGCATTCATCGCG